AGATTATGAGGTATATATTGTAATAATGTAATTTAATAGTAAGGCAGACAAGTAATGCTTTGTCTGTCAGAGAAATAGAGAAGCTGGATTAACTGTAAAAATCTTTATTATCATTGTGTACATAAACGCATACAACATTCAGTCTATTTATACGTTTATCATTTATGGTTTATCCCGTTTGAAGAATACCCATACCCCCCAAATTCATTTTACCACTACATTTTTTTTTTATTTCAACGATAGTTATGTTAAGATCTTTTTTTCTCTCATATTGTACTTTTGACATCTCCGAATCCTCTGGGACGTTTTAAACCGTATATATAAATGAACTGAAAAACACACACATCTGCGTCTTCTATATCTTCTAATAAAACAGCATGAATTCTTATTTTTACATTATATGAGCCGCGTCACGACAAACCAACATAGTGCGTTTGCGACCATCATGGATCCAGACCAGCCTGCGCATCCGCGCAGTCTGATCAGGATCCATGCTGTTCGCTATCAGATTCTCTACTTGTAATAAGGTCGGTAAGCGAACAGCATGGATCCTGATCAGACTGCGCGGATGCGTAGGCTGGTCTGGATTCATGCTGTTCGCAAACGCATTACGTTGGTTTTGTCATGACACGGCTCATTTGATTGTTTGATTAAATGACGAAGCGTTTTATTGGGCTTCTAACAGCTGCTGCACTTCGTTACATTCAGTGTATTCTGAAAAGCTATGTCGGAACCAGCATGTCTCCCTTCAAGTGACACAATAACCTCCATATGCTCTTTATGTCAGTTTTATAAAGAAAAAAAATGATGTTAACGCAGAAGTCTGTTGACCTGGCCCAATAACTGTTTCATAGTTGACACTAAGAAAATGAAAGGTACACATGTATCTAAAACGCTTTGCATATAAACAAACATGTCCTGTCAAAACACTTGATGAATATTGCTATTGTTAGAAAATGGTATGTTCATCAATACTCATTTATACGTTTTATAAGTCTCTTATATTGACTTACTTCATTAGAATCGTACTTTCAAAAAGTGACAAAAATGATTCGGTTAACTTGCAACTTGTCACATATTTGTTTGTAACATACATGTATATAATACAAAATACAATGTACTATCATTTCCATAATAAAGAATATATATTTATTAAATTAACTTTTAATTGTATTGCGTATATATATAACAACTTATTAATACTTCCTTTTCTTGCAGAATTAGGTGTTTTCATACCTTTTTTACAAATGACATGATCTATATTGTTTCTCGAAATTTGTAACTGCTTCCCACATAAAAAAGAAGGTTAAACGTCATTGTAGTTCAATTGATTGTTTCTTTTGTGTTAGATATTTATGTACGAACGAAACAACCTCAATTCAGAAAGAATTTCTTAACCATACCCCTATTTCATATGCCTTCTTATTTTCATTGTAGTGACCTTCCTCATGTCAATCTTATTTAATGTACTTTTTGCACATGTTGGATCTAATAAGGTCATTCTTTGATGAAAACTGTTCCCTTTTTACAACAGCTTGTAGGTTTCTTAGCACTTAACGGTTTGAATGTATATAATAGATTTGATAAGAAGTTTATGCGTTATTTTATCCGTAGGTGTTAAATTCCCGTTTAAGATAAAATGATGTCAGCTTTTAAGAACATTCTTTTGATAGTGTTTCGTTAAATAGATTACAAACCATTTTCTCCAACCTAATTTATGATCTATCCGCTTCCGTTATATTTCATTGTTATTCATGTCAGAGGTAATGTACAACTGTCAGTATTATCTTTTGGTGTCCTTGTCAATTATAACTTGTTTGGTTCTATGGTGCAGCAACACAATTTAGGTCATCTGACGCCGAAACAGGAAAGATGATTTTGGTAAACCTTGGGTGTTACAAACTTTAAGCAACATCAGGGGTCAAAACCACCTCACCTGCTATAGCTAAGAGATTCAAAGACTCAAATAATTTGAACACATTTAGTCGCTTGTTACAAACAAGCACGGTTAAACGGTGGCTGCAATTCTGATGCCACAAATAGTAAAGGCAACCCCTATTGTTCATTGTGAGACGCGGCAATAAGTGTTACGTAACTGTTGTTACGCAGATTCCCTTAGTGATTTTTCGTTCTCAAACATTAAACAAGGGTTTAGTGCTCAGTTGTCATTACCAAAGCAAAAGTCATGAAAAAAAGAGTTATTTACAACATATAAAGGCTATCTATAATTTATATGTTTAAAAAGATATGAATGTTTTAGCTGGTGAATATATTGTGAAAACGAAAATATTGACGTATGCTATCAGTTTAATATTAACCATATAACTTTTTACTTTCATGCAAAGTAGTAAATATATAAAAAAAATATACTTTGCAATGTTTTAATCGGACTATCTCAAAAGGAAAACAAAGATTACATCCTTTAATAATATAACAAATAATTTTTGCCAAAAAGGTACATTGTTTTACATAAATTCTTCTCAGTGCATGTATTCCGCTGGACATTTTCATTCTAAATTAGTACTATAATACATATCAGCTGCGTCACGACAAAACCAACATATTGCGTTTGCGACCAGCATGGATCCAAACCAGGCTGCGCATCCGCGCAGTCTGATCAGGATCCATGCTGTTCGTTTACCAACCCTTTTACAAGTAGAGAAAATGATAGCGAACAGCATGGATCCTGATTAAACTGCACCGATGCGCAGGCTGGTCTGGATCCATGCTGGTCGCAAACGCACTATGTTGGTTTTGTCGTGACGCGGCTCATAATTATGTTCTTGCAACACAGTTGAGTATTTTTTACACATTGCCTGTTTACATAGAATATTCTTCTTTGGAATGTTATAAAAACACAGTTTATATAGTTAAAACAAAGGTTCTTGCAACATTTTTTATCATCAAAGAACGCCTAGTTCTTCTGATAGAATTGTAAACATGTGTTTCATCTTATCTAATATTATAATCAATGTTGAACAGAAATTATGATTATCTTAATATAACAAATGAGATTTTTGATTCAAAATTCAATTAGCAAGAACCAGCTGTCGGTATACATGCTGTTATAATTTTTGTTCAATAACGGTAAGGATTTTTTGTTATACTTTCAAATGTTTTTTTTATTATATTCTAACAATAAATGGAAAGAGTCCTTCAATTTTAAAATCTCAAAAGTGATTAAATAGTAACATGTTTACGCAAATGGTGTTTCCATGTTATAGATTGCGCAAAACTGATTTTGAAAAAAATAAGCCTAGTGGAGGTGATATAAAATCGTTTTTTAATCACTAAGATCATTTACATATTAAACTGTTATCTCTTATTAGAGACAATGTTTCTGTTTACAAAAGAAACATTGTGGTACCGAACAAATTCAAGCGTATATACAATGAAAACAGCCTTAGGTTAACGAATCTCTAATAGATTACGACAATTCCACGCGTTCGAGCTATATTTATTTAATTTACTGTCGAAATCAGATGTTTGTGATTAGAAGCAGAAAGTTACTAGATTTAAAACATAACATTTTTTCCTAAAAGAAAATCTGAACTGTTTCTTAGTTATTCAATAATTAATTATCATTCTGATATAAGATTTGGTCTTACAGAAAACTTAACTAGTATATGTTAGTTGAAGTTTTTTTCCTATTTAAATCAAGGGAAGAAAACAGCACTGTTATATATCAATACAGTTTTTCAAAACCACATTGAAAGAGTACTGAATATAATGTGTTGGACAAAAAAAACGAAAGGAAAACTTCCAAACCATGCGATAAAGTAAATATCTAAATTAAATGTAGGTTTGCATACATCTATGATGGAATTCATGGATAAGATATTTCAAAGGTATCTGCGAAAAACATGAAATCTTTATCATCAATAGTCATTAAGTAATAGAAAAAGGATTTGAAACTTAAGGTTATCTGATTAGAATGATGGACAAAATCATTTTCCTGAGAAAAGTGTTGCCAGTTTTCGAGCATGTAAACATCGATACAGCATTTCGCGATTTTTGTTCAGCCGTTTTTATATCTCGGGTCACGTGGTCAGTTTAGTAAGCGCACGGTTATGGGGTCTTTAAATGAACTATTCAATAATGACAGAGATCATTTTTTTTATCCCAAATTCCTTCGAATTTAAAAAAGAGTGAATTCGAAAATGGCAGCACTGATTTATTTGTAGAATGTGACTTTATAAGTCTTTAAATTTTAAACTTCCCATTTTTCCTCTACATTCAGGAAACCGGAATGCATTAACTTAATTCCCGCACAGTTTTAATAGGTAGCTGTTTAGATATTATTCATGCCGGGCTAAAACATCTAAAGATTGATACTGTTATTTCCTTCATATTTGGAGAGCAAAACAACATTGTCATATTAAGCTATGCTATACACACATACATTTTTAAATCTATTTTTAATACATAAACATCATTGTATTAACTATTCGATTATTATGCCTTAATTTAGATTAGTATTAATATAATTTATACCAAATTTTGTAGCAGAATTTTAGTCATTCTGTATGGCTTATAAAACCAAAGTTTTCTAGTTTCAATAGCAAGTGAAGCGTAACGACAAGTGTTCAAATACCCGTCAAAATTGTAACTACTTTATGTACATGCAAACTGCCAAAACGTCAGCGGTTATCATGACAGAATTTCCGTAGCAAGATGTTTGTCATTTTAATATTACGACTGTCTTCTTAATATATTTATTTATTACCAGTTCTCACCAGTACTGGTTGGTTCCAGGAAGCGGACTCGAAAGTGATTAATATAAGTTGCAAGAACTTGTTTCGCAATCGAGCTTAAATAAATATGTTTAAACCAATATTTATTTATTATGTACATATTTTTTTTCTAAATGTTCTGTTTCACTGAAATTATTAAACGCACTTATATAACTAGAATACCTGTTGTTACATAATCGTGCATATTTCCCGAGATAGAACGAAGGTCGGTATAAGTAAGCGTCTTGAGCTGTAGTTACACATGTGACAATCATATACAGCTGTCGGCAAGACTAGAGAGTGTTTTACTGTATGACAATGTATAGAGGTTGATTAACAACGTTTGTTTCCGCCTGTCAATCTGTCAATATATTTAAAGATTTTCGTCCGTACATCAATATTGCATTATTGTACGTCAATTTATCATAATTCTGCAACATTTGTTAAGACAAAAAACTTAATTTGTTTTCAATTCGTGCAAGCAGTCGTGTTGTATAATGTTCGCTGTGTGTTTGTATAGGAATTTATAACAAACCAAGTATCTACCGTACAGGTAAATAATCATTTTCTTACTTTTACTGCTAATGTTTTTAGTTATTATATTAATGCATAAAATAAGATTCTGTAAATAACTGTTCAATATCTGTTTATAAGGTATAAAACATATGATTTTTAATATCTATTCTGTATTTTAATATTATTAATATTATTATTATTATTATTATTATTATCATCATCATTATTATCATCCAATAAATGTAAATAACATAATCTTTCTGAAACTTTTTATATTAAATTATAATAGCACGTTATTGCCAACCCTATTACAAGTACAGAAAATATTTGGAACAGCATGGATCCTGATCAGACTGCGCGGATGCGCAGGCTGGTCTGGATCCATGCTGGTCGCAAACCCATTATGTTGGTTGTGTCGTGACGCGGCTCATAAATACTGAATATTTTTCTGTATCAACAATATATAGATTGTATTTCATTATTGAAATTTAAAATTAAAATGTTATTTTATAATCTAAATTCGTGCCTTTGTCGAAGTGATAATACGCATTTCAAATAAAAATATAACCTGTATTAATGGTATTGTGTTTAATGGACATTTCATGGGGAAGTAAAGTATGAAACCCGGTTTTTTACTAACAATCTACGTGTTTTTCTGATGATACAACAACAAATTATCAAATGATCTTACAAAGCATTTTAATGATGTACATGTATATTGGAATTAAGAAGTATATTTAAGACAGCTTATCAAGAAGTTGAATTTTGCAAAACCCTAATTGAGTTGCAATAAACATACATTATCATTCTTAAAATCACATATTGAATATAAACACATTCATATGTTGCAACGCTTTAAAATAAATCGGACATTCCTTATGAAATGCATCGGACATTCCTTATGAAATACATCGGACATTCCTTATAAAAAAACATCGAACATTACTTGTCAAATACATCGGACAATTTTTCTAAAATGCATTCGACAATTCTTTTTAAATACATTCGACGTTCCTTATTAAATACATCGAGCATTTCTTATGAAATACATCGGACATTTCTTATAAAATACATTGGACATTCCCTATTAAAAACATCGGACATTTCTTATGAAATACATCGGACATTTCTTATAAAATACATTCGACGTTCTTTATTAAATACATCGGACATTTCTTATTAAATACATCGGTCGAGTACATTATGTAGTTACATAGTGGCAGTACTGAGTAGGGTTATTTTTCATGTTGCAATATAATTTAAAAAAACATCTAAATAGTTTTTTAACATTAAAATGAAATCGATTCCTTTCCATATACTTCAATCTGTTTTCATCAGACTTAAAGTTTATGTTAATGTGTGTTATCTTTTTTTCTAATTATATTTCAACATGTAGCGTGTTGTTATAATGAAAACATATGTTGTATTTATTAAAACTGTCACCGCCGTTCATTTATCAATAACGCAGAAGCAGACGACAAGAAAAATCTAATTTATATTGCGTTTCTAATACTCCTTACATGTATATTCTGAACACAATTTAATTAGTACTTCACAAAACATATTTAAATAACAGCTTCGGTTATGAATGTCATTCTTAGAACAACGTAGAATAACAGATTTGTTTAAGAGCACAGTTTGGATTTCGAAGTTTAAGTGTGAGACACAACGGAAATTATATGGTAAACATTGTGCTTGAATTAGGATAACTTTATTATTTTATTACTTTTCCTGAAAATATTAAATTCATGACGGTTTGTAGTTAGATCGGATTCACTTTAATATTTCATTGTGTTCGAAATGTATTTTAACATCTGTTAAATATATATCGTGAATTTCTATTAAATGTTACAAAATATTGAATACAGAATATGTTTGCCCGCTAGCTTGTTTCATAAAATTGTTGCGCAAAAGTTTATGCATAAGTTGGGATGGAAGGCGGAACCTTGCCAGCGTCCAAATATAAATCTGATGCGTATATTTGTAGCGGCTTTTCAAGGACAGTGTCAGACTTGTATGATTTGAGCAGATACAGTGTTTTGTATTCTAGAAATAGTCAATAGATCTTAAAGCACGCGGGGTAAATGCACGCGGGGTAAAGCACCATTTCACTGAGCGTCGGTTTAAGTCTAAAATGAATAAGTACTTCTAATTTAGAAACATCATTTGTTCACAAGTCTATTTTTCCTTTTCTATTTTCCGCATTAAATTCAAATATTCTAAACATTGAGCTTGCAGTCGTGCAGCAGATCCTACCGATGCGGCTTATGGTCTGCACTTTCCATATTTAGTTAGTATATAGATTCACATTTTCCCTAACTGATGAATGGTTTTTTTCTAAATTGAAAGATGGACAAGTCAATTAATATACATATATTTATCTTGGTAAGGATAAATGTCAATCAATGTTAAAGTGGCAATATGCCCATCTTAGTGTGAATGTGAAAGTCTTAAAACTTAAAATTAAGACAAATTCGTTTAAATTTTATATTTTTCTTCGCAAAAATAATCAATAATCCTCGTGACCAATGTAAAATTCAGGCTGGAAATCTTATATATGCGATATTTTAAGCTCGATTTAAGTCATTTTTCACAAAGAAATAATTAGTCTGAAAAAAACTTGGTGAGCTATAGTCCAATATATTAGACGTTACAGGCTTGTTATAGTTTTTGTCGGTCAAGCCTGACGTCTAATAGTTATTGCTCAAAAACGCATAGCATCATAAAAAATTCAAAAAATGTCTATTGTTCTGCCTTTCAAGCTTTATTCAAAAGCTTATCATATTTTCTTTCAATTTCATGCTCAATCATACACAAAAACTGTCAAACGATGAACTTATCAATTTAAAATCAAATATAAACATCAATCTATTTTTGTCTATCAGCCATACTGGTTAAGCAAGGTGCTTTACAGATTGATTCCAAATTTTTGAACGGAAAAATATATTCGAACACACTGACGGTGCATGGGCAATTATTTCGTTAAAAAAATATTCCGTTAGATTGTTCTGACTCAGTTAAACGCTTGCATTTGAATTAGCCAATCAGATTTCGCGCACTTTACGGCCGCCATTTGTTTATCGGCTGTAAAAGGAATTGAAATACATGAGAGGATTTAATCATGATTTTTCGGATGTGACAGTTTAATTATTTTGACAAAAGGTATTTATTTTTTAGTTTTGTTCATAAATAGGTCAAAAAATATGTAAATACACGCTGTCTTCATTGTTTTTCGTTCCGCCCGATTTTCTGGCGGAACATGCTATGGGTTTTTGAGCAATTTCGATATGACGTTGCTTTGCCCAGAAGCAAAAATATCTCAAAGCGACGTCATATTTATAGGACTAGGTGAGCTAATGATCTGAAAGTTTGCAAAAAAGTTATCAGTCTAGACCTAGTGGGACATTAATCTCGAAAATTTCAAGTTCCGTCATATCAGAAAACCTCAGTGGAGTCTCTTTTAAATGACATTATGTTGATTAATTCGTTGAAAGGATCTCAACTTACTATATTTCTGAATTATTATTTGCATATTTTCCTGTTTGAAGTGCTCAACTGACTTATGTAAGAAAATCAAATTTTATGCCTTTAGGATTTTGAATATAAATGAGATCCTTTAAGGGACTTTTATGTATGTGCACAAGTCTGAACATTTGGGTAGCGGTGGTCTAGTAGTTAAGGTATCTGCCTCTCAACCCAGAGATCATGGGTTTGAGCCCTACTCGGTTCACATCCGTGTTCGTTCATATGACACTAGTACTTGTTGGTTCCAGGAAGCGGACTCGAAAGTGCAAAAACTTGTTTCGCAATCGAGCTTAAATAGATAGATGTATGCTAAAACCAACTTTTTGAATACATGTTAACTGAGAGAAAAGATAAGCAAAAGAAAGAAAAGTAAAGTTCACGCAAGGCATCTCCCAAAAAACGCGATCTCTGTGAAGAAATTGTGTGGGCTAATTACGGAATGCCGTTAGGGCCATTGCCTATAAATGTGTTAATCTGAAACGCGATAGTCGATAGTACGATGGTGAAAACGCGAAATCACGAAACTACGATGGTGAAAATGCGAAAGCACGATGATGAAAACGCGAAAGTACGATGATGAAAACGCGACAGTACGAAACTACGATGATGAAAGCGCGATAAACTATCGTGTTTTCACCATCGTACTGTCGCGTTTTCACTATCGTAGTTTCGTGATTTCGCGTTTTCATCATCGTACTGTCGTGTTTTCATCATCGTACTATCGCGTTTTCACCATCGTACTATCGCATTTTCATCATCGTACTATCGCGTTTTCATCATCGTACTGTCGTGTTTTCATCATCGTACTATCGCGTTTTCACCATCGTACTGTCGTGATTTCATCATCGTACTGTCGCGTTTTCATCATCGTACTATCGCGTTTTCACCATCGTAGTTTCGTGATTTCGTGTTTTCACCATCGTACTATCGACTATCGCGTTTCAGATTAACACATTCATAGGCGATGGCCCTAACGGAATTCCGGAATGCCGTGAGGGCCATCGCCTATGAATGGTTTGATCTGAAACGCGATACTCGACAGTACGATGATGAAAACGCGAAATCACGAAACTACGATGGTGAAAACGCGACAGTACGATGGTGAAAACACGATAGTTAATCGCGTTTTCATCATCGTAGTATCGTACTGTCGCGATTTCATCATCGTACTATCGCGTTTTCATCATCGTGCTTTCGCGTTTTCACCATCGTAGTTTCGTGATTTCGCGTTTTCACTATCGTACTATCGACTATCGCGTTTTAGATCAACACATTCATAGGCGATGGCCCTAACGGCATTCCGTAGCTAATAGAAAGTTCGTTAAATAGACGCAAAGCTGTGTGACGCAAGAATAATTAGTAATCCTGTAATTGGATTACATATAAGGCATGCATAAAACGATTTCACGATTGATATGAATCCTAAATACCAAGACTTGTCTTGTGTGGCTTTAAATGTAATTTTCGCATTATCCAGACAGTTAGAAATTGAATTAATTGAACAGCTGTGACACCGCGGGTTTTAACTGTAAAATTATGACAAAATAAAAAAAATGTTTAACAATTTTTCTACAGACGAAAGTTTATATTTGCAAGCAATTTACTCCCATTTAATATGTTTTCTAAAAATATGCTCATTTACATTCAGCCTAACATTTTCAGATGTATTTACGATCAAACATAAATTGTGCCCATAGCCATTTACAGTTTGCAACAAAAGCTTATGACAAAGACAGAGAGATAGATAAATTAAACAAAACAAACATATGTGCAAAGCATTACAAAATAGAATATATCTGATAGACCAGACACAGGTGTCAAATAGAATGAAAAGTTTCTCTAGCTAAATATATTTGGCTAAATTGTGTTGCAAATAGTCTCCTCTCTTGACAATACTTATTGTTTACAGAACAGGAGACAGTTCTTCAAAGCTCTGTTTAATTTAACAGAGCTTTGAAGAACTGATCCCAGAACAGAACCTAATTGAACTTAAGCTGCGTGTGCAAGATAAAAAGTTTACAACTGAACAGTTAAAATAAATAACGTGACAAGGCATAATTACTTCTTACAAAATATTAACAAGGAAAAAACACGAGAGAGGGGGAAATTAAAAAAAAACAGTTATTCATAAGTAATATTATTTGACCATAGAAGTATTTTGGTGAGCTACAATTAACTTAAATTGGCATATTAAAACAAAATAAAATTCACTTTTCCGATTTTATCACTTAGGTTAGACAAACATTTTAACCATATTTAATCACATTTTATATAAAATATACATATAACTTTCAATATCAATATACATGTATATGATGAACTATTATTAAATAAATTAAAATGACATCAAGATTTAATATAATTTAAATATACATTTGTAACCGATATCATTTACTACACAGAAAATGTTATTAGCACTCATGTCAATGCATTTTTATTGTCGCATTTTCCGACTGCTGTAACACTCATTTAATTGTCGCATGTTACATACCATAAACACGCACATACAAACGCATAAACTGTGTCTATGTGATCTAAGATCGTTTCCCGATATAAATACATGTATGTTGTAGCAAAAGCAGCTGTCTGACAGTCGCGAAATATAAGTGAGAAATGTTTGAATGTATTTCCTAGTCTATATTTTACCATGACAAAACAAGTGTTGTTTCATTCTGATCTATATTTCTCCATGATAAAACAAGTGTTATTCTCATTCTTATCAATATCTTTCCATGAAAAAATAAGTAATGTACTTATTCTAATCAATATCTCCCCATGAAATAAAACAAAAGTTGTTCTGATTCTTATCTTGTTTTCACAATTAAAACAAGTGTTGTTATAATTTCAAGCTATATGTTTACCATGATAAAACAAGTGCTGTTCTTATTCTAATCTATATTTCGTAATAATAAAACACGTGTTGTTCTAATTCTAATCTATATTTCACCATGATAAAATAAGTTTTGTTCTTATTCCAATAAATTTTTCTGTTCATGAGAAACAAGTGATGTCTGTTCTAATACTATTTTATATTTCTACATGATAAAACAAGTGTTGTTGTAATTCATATCCAAATTTCACCATTATAAAACATGTGTTTTTCTAATTCTTATTAATATTTCTCCAAAGTTAAACAAGTGTTGTACTATATTTCGCTGTTGTTCGAACAATAATCCAAATGTCACCATAATGGAACAATTGGTGTACTTATTCTTATCCATATTTTTTCATCGTAAAATAAGTGTTGTTTTTATTCACATCTATACTGTACTATGATTAAACAGGCGTGGCTCTAATTCTTTATAATTTCTTTTTATATTGCAGTTATGGCTTTGGAATTGGAAAAACGTACATCCCGCATGCGAAACTTTCGAGTAGTCCTCCTGGGTTCCACTGGCGTTGGCAAAACGTCTCTGATCAAGCAGCTCTTGTATAAAGATTTCCCAGAAAGGCATAAAGAGACTCTTGAAGAGCTTCACCGTCACGTACTAGACATGGGTGCAATGTCAGTAGAAATAGACATTCTCGATACTTCCGGAACACATGAGTTCCCGGCCATGAGGCAATTAGCTATTGCCACTGGCAATGCGTTTCTTCTCGTCTACTCTGTTGATATCAGAGAAAGCTTTGCAAATGTCAAGTTCCTTATAAATGAAATAAAAGAAAACAAGCAGGGGGCGGATTACTTCATTATTGTGATAGCCAACAAGTCTGATTTGGAAGACATTGACAAAGAGCAGAAAGCTTTAAATGAGTCAATAGTGTGCATGGAGTGGAGTGAGAAGCTTGTGGTTACTTCTGCAAAAACCGGCGGCAACATTGTAAAAGTATTGGACTATATTAAAGAAAAGGTCAAAGACAAAATTGCTTCGGAAAGCAAAAAGCAGCCTCATTTGAGAAGAATTTCGATGCCGTCAATAAAACTGACAAAACATCGACAGAATGCATTAAAGAAAAATTCGAGAACATTCTCAGCCGATTAAATCTGAAACAATATAACAATGGCATAGGTTGTCCGCTTTTTTTTTCCTTTGATTATTTGATATATTTTAATTTGTTAATTGGCATAATTAACTCTTGTTAAGGGAGGGGCCATTATACCTATTCGAATCATTCATCTTTGAAAAACTTTATCACCTTTATTTAACAACGACTTGATTTTGTTTGTTTATTATATCAAAAAGCTATTATGATTCGGTGATAGTCTTCTAAAAAGAAAAGAGGATAATAATGTGATGTCATATCTAACATTATACATGTATATATGAATTGTTTTAATTGGTGCTATATGTGTTCCATTTACAAAATACGATATTTGTATAAATGAACGTTTATCTGGTAACTTATAATGATTGTAATATAATAGAATGTTATGTAACAATTAAATTTTGCATAACGATATGCGTTTATATTGTAAAAAGAAAGTTATATATGACTGTAATATAACACAATGTTATGCAGAAATTAAATTTTGTATAACGATAGGCGATTAGTTTTTACGTATTAGTCATAAAATGACATGTGTTTGTACAGGATACATCTGTAGCTTTGTTTTGCAACTATGAGGTTGTTTTGACATAGTTATTTGTAACTTTATTGGCAATAATAATTTACATAGCAAACATTATAACATTTATTTATTTATTTATTTATTTATTTATTTTAATGTAAAGCCTTTACTTTGAGTTTGTTTTATTACTATGCATATAAAAATTAAACGACCATGTATAGGTTGAAAATGGCATATTTTATATTTCACATTTTAAATAAAGCATAATTATATACTTTCGTGCCATTTGTTTTCATTGTTCGCATGGTTGACATATACAGTACAATCTAAAGAGCAACATCCTTTAGAACGCCAAATTGTTGGTTGCTGCTAAGCGGTGTGGTTCCTGGAAAGTTAAATTGATTGTGCAGTCATAGTGTTACAAGAATTTATACTGAAGTTATTTCTTACTACCGAAGGTCGCGCTGCAGACAACAAAATCTTGTTGCAGGCTCGGTTGGTCATGGGCGTCAGATTTTTATGTGCAGTCAATCATCCATGTCCCCTTTGCACCAGTTTAAGCACATTTCACATTTAAATACTGATAATGTGACACGTATGATAAATATGTGTTTATACGACGGTGATCATAGAAAGCTTTCGTTTGATTATTGAAGGTAATATTTTGTATTGTTTAAAGGTTCTGATATAGTAAAGCACATAGCGCAGCATTGCCAAAATGTATATGATTACACTAAGTGCGGCATTCCAAATATAATCTTATAAAGTATACCACGAAGTGCAACATTATCAAAATGTTCTCGTATAGTATAGCTCATAGTCCAACATGGCGAAACTGTTCTTATATATTATAACATGCAATGTGGCATTGCCAAAATGTAGTCATAAAAATAGAAAGTAGTGCAACATTGCCAAATTTTCCCTATTAGTATAACACGTAGTTCGACAAAATGATGTCATTGAGCAGGACATGTAGTGAGACATTGCCAAAGTATTTTCATAGACATATAGTTAAACAGCCTAAATGTTCTCATATAGTCGAAGTGAATCATTGCCATAATGTTCGCATATAAAACGTTCAATAGTACTAAACCTTGTACCTTCTCGTTTATATACATTTTCATTCTTTTTAAATGTAGAATTCTACTTATAACATTAATCTTATACAGTATAATGAGCCTCTCTACACTGCTACAAAAGGGAGACAATAAGGTATATCTTATTTTCATTTCAGTACAACTAAATTTTTTGTTTCTTCGGAGTTCTTAACAGATGCGACGCAGTTTGAAGACAAAAGTATAATTTTGTCCATTCTTAATATCTATAGGTATACGAGTTTCTAAACCTTTTGGATAGACATTAATCTTCGATACAAAATAAACATTATACAACGTGTTTGTTTCAACATTTATTTATTTAGACACATCTATCTAATTTCACAAGTATATTTCGTTTAAGACTTCTATGTATTATATGGTTACAGAAATTAATCATTCGATGATAATAATTGTGTAAAAAAATGTAGATTCAGAATAACTTTATCTCCGATGTTTCTCCACTTTAACAAAAAGTTTTGTTTACATATTTTTATTTCGTTTATGTAATGACAAGTTTAAAAGTACATGACACATTACAGGTCATTTTTTATACAAAGCCGATAATTAAACGTTTTTTTGTGTGACACATATCAGATTATGATATAAGACCAAAGGCAACAAAATGATCGTGTCAACGACATATAATAAGATTCTTTAAGTGTGTTGATTAAGGTTGATTAAAGGTTTAATAAGTACATATATGTGAAGGTAGCAGTAAAATTGTTCTCGTTAATCTTCTGAGGGACGGATTTAGATAAATCTCCTACTACATGTGTATATGAATATTTTTTTAAATACACGCTACAAAACACGTGTAAAGTTTGTTTTATTGCTGAATTTACTTCGTCTTTGGTATTTAAATCTAGAGATATTATTGGGCAATAAATTCTTGAATAACTGGAATAACTGTCATATTAAATGAGCTCTTGGTCTCATGAAATATTATAAATCAATTATTACTTACAGTTAGAAAATGAAAAAGTGTAATTAAAATACAAATCTATTTTCTTACAGCATAATCATAAACTGAGACTTACAGTAAATTGAAAAGACTTCTTTCCTCAAAAAGATCTTTATATACAGATCAGGACAAAAGGAAAAACACACAAACATTTAAACGTCATACACATGGACGTAAAATATATACAGTAATAATTAAACAAATCCTGTTATGACAAAAAAGTAAAAATACAACAAACAATCAAATGTTTTACATTAGTAAAGTACAGATGCACTTCAGTCATCACCATTATGTTCCTGTTATCTGTACGGAAGAAAAAGTAACATTCATGTGTTTCTTTTATTTATTTCTCTTCCTTCAGGGAAATTTGATAGCTGATGAAGATACACGTCAATAAGTCGTTCGCCTTAAACAAGCATTTCTAACCTAAATGGTGTTGTCTAATGTACTTTTAGTTACTATTTCCTTCATGTTACATCACGAGAAGATATACTTGTTTTCAACGCTGAAATAAGATAATCTACTCTATTTGTTTCGTCAGATAATGTTCTTCGTGCCAATTATCCATTTTTCATCACGGGAACTTAATAGATCTCCGCATGAGAGATAAAAATATCAAGAACAGTCACGTTTCGCATTTGGGGTCGAAATAAGTAAGTGAAAGCTACTGAAAATTAAACAATACTACAAAAAGATGAATAAGAGCGCAATTTATATTCGCTTCATGTGTAACAATGCTATTAAATTAACCGCATAGTAGCAAAGTTATATTTTATTCCAGTATTTAGCTTTAATTTTGATCACATGTCGGTTGCAAATGCTTTTTTCCAGGCAATTCTCAAAAACAAAAACGGGAAGGAAACTTCTGGTCCTTCGGGATCATGATGCAAGCACTTTTAAGTGTTGAGAATTGAGTACCGCTCAAGCCGATGCTAGGGGGCGTGAGGGATACAACATTTATCATTATTCCTCATGTAAAGACTTAATCAAACCGAGTCTGCAATTCTTATGTAATTTTGTTGTGATTAATGCTTCCGAGGGATCACTTTGTTTCCAGATTTTTGCACTTTACAAAATGTAATGCTCTTTTAATACACCGTTTCCCCGAGGCAAAACAAAGACGAACAAAGCAGCATAAAAACATTCATATCATTAGATGTCTTCTATTCTTTTATAAATCTCGTGCATTTCTACATTAATATTATTATATATTTGTCAAAGTAATCTTAGCAATGTGTTCTATTTCAGGACAGATGAAAATGTAAGAAATTTATCATTGTTTTAAGTAAATGTGTGATAACTTCCTTTTGTCATGCACATTTTATAGAACAAGACACAAAAGTGCATTCATTAATTTTTACTACAGTCACGTGTTTCATGAGGATTGTAAAATGTGACAAATTTAAAAGAGATAACATTAAATTTCATTGTTTAAAAACGATGATCTGCTCTTTTTTTTTCTTTAAATGATCCAACTTTTTACTAACTTATCATTATAAAGACGTTTACGTTTTATAAATATCTAGATAAAAAAAAGTGATCCCTCGGAAGCAAATTTACAATGCAAATTGCAGACTGGGTTTGATTGAGCCTGTACATGAGGGATTATTAAATGGTGCAACATCTCTTACGATTCCTAGGACAAGCTTGAGCGGTACTCAATTCTCAACACTTAAAAATTCTCTGGACTCAATGATCCCGAAGGAGCAGCAAAAAATATAACAACACTGAAAAATATAACAACGCAGTAAAGTTATTTAGTGAAAATACGAATGGGTATCTAAGGCTGGTTCTATATTTGAAATACCAGCAGAGTAAACGATAAACTGACCTGTTTATATGGGCATTACAGATGTCAATAAAATATCCGGGAAGTTTCAAGCATAAGCAAGGATTCCATTGTCAATTACATTCCATTAAAACACTTAACACATCAACATATATTGATCAAAAGCATAAACGCCAACCTGACCTGTTAATGTGACCATCATTGATGTTTGTGACAATCGTCAAAAGTAACTTTGTTAGGATAGCAGTATGAATTTGATTCAAGTATGCTTATACATAATGAAATGACCCTTTTAACGTTAAGTTAACGTATGAAGATTTCCAGATGGATGTTGATTTCCTGGTCCAAAAAGATACATTATTCATTACTTCTATATGATTGTCATATAAGTCGTTTTTTATAAATCTTTATAAAGATATGATATCATCAAATATGAAAATATAAATATTGATCTGTGATGTATAAATCAAAATAGGTTATATATTTCACTTCTAGTGCATTTAAGTAGCAGTTTAACTTGTGAAACAGCCTGATTCAGTACAATGCAATGTTCATAAAAATCATTAACTGCAGTAGCACAATAACATTTTTAAAAAGTTTTAACACAATATTGTAACATGCCGATATTTAAGGTTTAAAAGAGAGCAACAGTTGGTCCATTTCTCTCTTTTTGCAAAGTGTGTAACCATCATAGACATTTTCTGCGTTTTGCAACGTGGCATGTGCCACATTCGTGATATGTTTCTGAAACTACAAAATGTAACATATTTAAAACAGCTTTTAATGGGTGAAATGTTTAAATGATTAACAAATTAGAATCGAATAACACAAGATTTAATCGGATTATTCTGCTCATGCGTATTATAAATGTTAACACTAATTTCACCTGTGTCCTACATTCAGTTAACTTGTGTATATCAATTCATTTCAATATAAATTCAATTTAAACAAATTAAAGGCCCTGGCTTCAGCTATTATTTTCATTTTTACTGCCCAGTAATTCTTCATGGAAATAAAACGAAGGGAGATACAGAGTATCTCCGCTTTGTCAACGATGGAACATCACATTCCAAATCCATTTACTTCCGCCTCTGGCATTTGTGGTTAAAACAACCGCAATTAAACAGCTATATTTGCAATTTGTACAATTATACTACTTTGATGATAAATTATGTCATGTTCTAAATTCATGTTTGACCTTTTTAAAGATTTTGATATTATTATTATTATTGATTGAGAAGTTAAAATGTATTCATTTCTGAGACAAAATGTGCCTTACATGCAATGAAAGGGAAATAAAATTCAAAGAAATATCTTTATAAATTACACACTGTACTTTGAAGAGTTAAATTACATATCTGAATATAACTATCGGACACTTACTATCGGACACTTACACAAGTAAAAGCGAGTCACGT